TGTACTTCCATGCCCGCCTCTACGCCTATCTCTGTGCCTGCCTCCGTACCTGTCTCTGTGCTTGTTTCTATGTCTGTCTCCTTCCAGATTACTGACCCTATAGGTACCTCGTGTACTTCAGTCCCCGCCTCYGCACCTGTCTCTGTGCCTGCCTCCACACTTGTCTCCATGCCCGTTTCTGTGTCTGTCTCCATGCCCGTTTCTGTGTCTGTCTCCATGCCCGTTTCTGTGTCTGTTTACCTGTGAGGCCCGGCCTCCAAAGATGGATAACGACTCACCCACCTCTCTCATAGGTCATCTTGACCCCTAGCTACCACTACACGAAGTGTCCTAGCATGACTAAGAGGGCCTTCCTACACCCCTGTTACAACGCCGGATCCCCCGCCGATGTCTGAAGCAACTTGCAACTCTTCGATGCAGATATGGCAGCCTCTGATCAAGTCTCCCTCTTGAGGGGAAGCCCAAAAGTCACTCAATGTCTTCTTGAAGTGCAGATTCCAGGTGTGAGTACCTCTCACTCTCTACTCCCTCTCGCTTACTCCAATCAGCCTCCTTTGTGTCTCGCCACCCCATCCAATCACTCAAGCAACTTGGTCAGGTCTGATGTCGACCCTACATGACCTAACCAGGTGGGGGCAGTATCCACATACCTCACTGCCCCTCTTAACCCTAACTTCCCAACCCTAATCCGAGATTAGGTTAGCCCTGACCTAATCCGGAATTAGGTTTAGGGTGACTAACACCTCTCGCCAGCAAGTAAGTCCGCTCTGATACCAATTGTTACGATCTTGGTCATTCCCAAACTGACCAGTAGGTGAAGGCTCAGGGGTAACGTGACTGCGGTACAGACTGGCGTTTGGAACAAGTGGCTGCCAACTAAGGGGTGGGGTCCCCTCGACAGATCTGGTGATTCTAATTTCTTGATTTTTTGGATTCTGTATTTTTCGATTTTTTTGATTTCGTCTTGTATTGTCTGAACTTTGCCTTGTTGGAGGCATGGCCCCTGGCGGGAGTAACCCAGGGCTGGAAACGTTTTTCGGACTCTTCTGTTTTTTTGGTCTCTTTCTAGGCCTGGTTCATCCGGAAACTTCGGTAATTCTGGACTCTTCTTCGCCGTACCTATTCTGGTTCTTGAGGTATCTATGCTCAGGATGTTAAGTGAGACTCTTTTCTTTCTCGGCAATACTTAAGTGATAGGAGCTATTCGTCCAGTCCCTTTCCGTGCGACTACAGACCCCTGATGATTCCGGTATTGGCGGCCGGATGAAACGCAGCGTAGGGTCGCTGCGCCTATTCATAACGATTACCTTACGATGTTTATGGCGGGTTATCATTGTTAATCTATCGGTCATCTGGTCGCGTTTCGGGAAAATTAGGACTTTTCTCCCTTCCCTCGCGCTTGCTCTCCACTTTTCTTCTCTTCTTCTCTCTCTCTCTCTCTCTCTCTCTCTCTCTCTCTCTCTCTCTCTCTCTCTCTCTCTCTCTCTCTCTCTCTCTCTCTCTCTCTCTCTCCCCCTGTGAATGTGATGAGTTTCCTGCTTTCAGTAATTCGTTTTTGTTGCTATTGGATGTCGGATGTCGTCTATCCAGCAATTCGCGTAGTAACCGCCGTGAAGATAGCATTACGGAAGTGTGGCTGCGTACTGTTTTCCATCGAACTAAACGTAGGGCTTTATCACTATTTTCGTCTTTTTCTTCCTCTCTCTTTCTTACTCTCTTATTTCCTTTTTCTTTTCCTTTTCTTTTATTTTATTATTGTCTTTTACCATGGCCGCTTCGGGAAGGGGGGCCTGCTTTAACTGTGGTCAACAGGGCCATTGGTCACGGGAGTGCACGCATCCTAGGAATTACCAGCGGCCACCCGTGGCGACGGGGGCAAATGCGGAACCATTACTAGCTTTACCGGCCGTCGGGGCGCAGGTGGCGCCAACAGCAGCTCCAGCGCCTGCGCAAAACTCGTACGATGGAGCCCCGCGTACGGGGTGGTGGACGAGGAACCAACAGATACTTGACAAATGCAACGATTTCGTCAGCAAAGCGCAGCTGAAGGAAAGGGAGGTAATGGAAGCTGCCGAAAGAGAAAAGCAACGACGAGAGAAGGAGGAGGAGGCGGAACGAGTAAAGAAGGATAAACAAGAACTGGAGAATCAGATTGTCTAGCGTCTGGAAAGTAACCTGGCTCCGATGTATGAAGCCATTATGGGCAAGGGGGTCGGCAGGGCGAGTACTAGCTCGGATAATGACGAGATTCGTAGACTACGTCAAAAAAATGAGGAACTGAGGACGAAATACGGCATCAAGGAACAGTTGCCGTCCACCGATTTGGTTGACCGGCTGCAGTGGGAGAACGTGGACTTGAAGCGTGCTGAGGCTGATCTAAAGCAGAAAATGGAGGGGGAGTTGGTCGTTTTGAAATGAGAGATTTGCGACCTCAAGGAGGGCCATGATAACATGGGAAGGAGCGACTTGGCTAAGCAAATCGAGGACCTGCCCATGGAGATGGAGGCTCTGCGCAAACGAAATGAGGAAACAGAGGAGGTTGCAAAACTATGGAGAAATGAGGCGTTACGGCCAGGAAACAAGCGAGGTAGTATCAACGTATCTACACCGGCTACAGAAGGAAGAACTGCCACCAGGACACGTATCTCGGCGTCTTCGGAGGAAGCAAGGCGCTTGCGAGTGCAACTTTCAGACTTGCAAGAGCGGAGGAAGTGCGATCAAACTGAAGTAGACATGTTGAAGGAGAGGAGGGCTTTGGCCGAGGCAAGGAGGATTGAGGTAAAAAATGAGCTGACTAGACTGCGGGAGCAGATGGCGCGGCTGACGACGATGCAGGCAGGGTGCAGCTCCCCTAAGGAGCGGGGCACGAACCTCAAAGAAAGGATGGAGGAGGCGGCAAAAACCGGGTTCCGATCTGGCAAGAAAAGCAAGGTGAAGGCTACACCCGGGAGAATGGCACGCCCTGATGATGATATCGCCAAGGCCAACGATCGTTTTGGGTTCCTTCAAGACGAGAGAAAGAGGTTGCGAGCCTTGAAGAAAGGGGGTTTGGAGCCGTTATGCCAAGAAGCAGGTATTAAATACAAGACAATGGATATCTCCATTGAGGAGATGGCTCAGATTAATGCGGCGAAGATGTTTGGTGAAGACAGCGGACCTACGGAAGGTGTTCGTGGAGATCGTAGCCGTGGTAAGGCGGTATCAGATGACAACAACGTTGAGGTCGTAGAGGAAGTCCCGTCGGACTCCGCTTGATGGGACTTCCCGAGCACGACGATTTGGGGGTTAGCCAAGGCTTGTCGTGATGGTCGTTCTGTATCTACCTCTTCGCTACGTGATGAATCTTGGAACTCTCTGTTTCAGATTGCTGTCTTGATGTTGGTATTGCGTGGGTGCATCCCGTGGGCGTCTAACTATCGGACTTATTTGCTGACTATGTTGAAGGACGATGGCGAGCTGTATCGATGTCGTGGCCCAATTGTGTACGTCCTAATTTCTCCCTGGCACAAGCACTGTTACGTAGGTTCTACGGGGCGTTCTCTTGATGTCAGGTGGTGCGAGCATGTTTACCGGGCCTGTAATGAGGGCGTCATAGATAGCGGTCAAAGGAATCATAGGCTGTACAACTGGCTGCGCAGATGTGGACCGGGTCATTATGTGGCTCTACCTCTGTTTCGCTGTGATGAACGGGATCGTTTGGCTTTGGAAAAGTTCGTTATTCGGCGTACTAATCCCTTCCTTAACGGTAGGGACAAGCCGGCTAAACACAGGAGGTGCCGTCCGGGTAAGCGAGAGCGAGAGAGACGGAGGCGGAGGCGGTCGGGTAGCAGTGCGGCGAAGGTGAGGGTTGACGTGACTAAGCATGCGCATTTGAACTTTGTGGGACAGGGCGGTGAACAGTCAGCTAGTCTGATGGGATTCCTGTCGGATGCACGGTCATGTGGAAAGAAGGAGTTGACGATTCGGTGTGTTGGAGGGGGCTTGCTCCTGAACAAATAGAGGGTGATAAAAAGATGCTTCGGAGGGTCCATCGTCAAGACTGTCTTTGGAATGGGAGCTTTGAAGAAGTATCGTGGTTGGCTGGCTGATGGCATAACGCTGAAATTCCGTACCATCTCGTACTTCTGCTCTACTTTGCTGTGTCTGAAACCCACATTACTAGATTTTCTGCAGAACCCTCCGTCTCGAAAGTGTCTGTCTGAATGGGACCTCGACAAAATTGTAGGCCTCTATCGTGCTATCACGAGCTTTAAGGAAAAAAGGACTAGGTACACTCTTCGCTGCGTTCTGTCCAGTGCCGTTCGCAGGAAATTCGGTTTCAATGTACGCTCTCGTCTAGTCGTGTGTATCATTTACGATGACTGCCTTTGCAAGAGTGCAATTAGGACTATGTGCTGCGAGTTGGTGGGCAAGTTGGATTTGTCGGTGTGTATTAAGGACATGGTGGTGAGGCGAATGCGGGTGGTGTGGGTCAAGAATCGGAGTGTTGGGGATGTATTGTTCAATTTTCGATATGCGTCCAGACAACTAGAGCTGGTGTGTCAATGTGCTGAGGCCGATGGGGTTTTTCCGCGTGTAAATGGGCATGTATGCTTTCGTATGGCTGAGGTTGATTTCGTTCCGTCTGCTCTAAAGAACTCTCGCAATATCCCCAGCCCGTCGCATGTCACCTCTCGCCGTAATCTGGTGAGGCAGGTAATCACTTCTTTTGGCCTATCTACCATGCTACCCACTCTGCACGAGGATGCTTTTGACAAAGGCACTATCGACTGCTGCTTCAACAAGACCGTGAGGAGGGACGGTCCGATCTCACAGAATATTGACACGGTGTTGGGATGGAGGAAAAAATTTGGGGAGTTGGTGAGATGTCCCATTGACCACAATGTCGGCGATTCGCTCGTCTGCTGCCCGGTGATCTATCAGAGTGGTATGAACAAACTGTTCTTGCATAACCAGGGCTTCGTAGTATGTGATGATGAGGATGAGGTGATCGTCGGTGTGCTTTAAGGTACAAGGAGGGGAGGTTTGATCGGTTGGGAAGGTGGAATTTTGCGGGGAGCTTGGGGCAGGCATACTCCATCCCGAAGCATAAAGACATCACCAAGTGGCGTCCCATTTGCCCGACGCACTCTGAATGTGGTGTGTCAGCCAGCAAGAAGGTCGCTCGAGCAATTAACCAACTACTGTGGGAGTTGCCGCGGGAAACGAACTTCAGCTTGAAAAGTATGACGGATTTGGTTCCATCTCTTCGTGGGATCAATGGGGGGCTAAAGCAGGGTGAACGATTCCTCAGCATGGCGTTTGACATCAAAGAGATGTTTTGTAATTTGCCGCATAAATCTATTCTAAGAGTCGTTCGCTGGGTTGTTGACTTCTGGGAGATCCGAGGGTGCAAAGGTGTGCTGATAAGGAGGAAGGGGAAGGGTGTGAAACTCCAATTTGGGGAATCCTCCATTGGCTGGAGTTTGGTTTCTTTTGAGACCATCTATGCATTTGTTGAGTTTGATTTGAGGTGCACTTTCTTCAAAGCCTGTGGTCGAATCTTGCAGCAGAAGGTAGGCATTCCGATGGGGAAGTCATCCAGTCCTGCATTGGCGTGTCTACTGTGCTCCTTCAACAAATTTATGTTCCTGTCCTCTCTCGGTAATGATAGGAGACTGGTGGGGGGTGTTCGAATGGTAGATGATGTGTCAATCCTGGTCAGATACAAACAAGGTGATTGCGCCTCTGTGCGACATGCAGAGTCTATTCTGGTGAAATTCGAATCCTGCTATGACAGTAATCTAATCTTGGAACGCACTAACAATGCAGACTGTTGGGATTTTCTCGGCTGCATCCAAAAAACTCTGGATTGGCCATGGGGCATTCAGTGCGTTGCCCTGCACAAAAATCAGCAAAGATATAACGAAGACGGCTTGCGTTTCCAAAACTTGCAGGACTTCGACTCGTTCTGCAGTCGGCAGCAGAAGAAGGCGGTGATCGGGTCTTGCCTGCACAGAGCTAAGGCACTGACAACAGTGCAGGGAACAGAGGTGGCTTTTTTATTCACCTTAAAGGTTGAGCTCAGAAAAAGGAGCTTCCCCGATGCTTATTTTGACGATGTTCTGCGTAATTTTTCGGGGAAATTTGGGGGAATCTGGGTTGACTGGGTGCAATGTTTGACGGGGTGGGAACAGTTGTCGGGACTGGGAATAAAACGGCACCCCGGCAGGGGTATGCTTCATTTGAAGGGCACAGGGACGGTGGAAACCCCGCAAAAAGTCCGGGATGATTTTGGGTTTGTAGGTAATGTACAATAATTTTAGGAAACTTACCATGAGAATGGGGTGCACTAGGTGTCGTTGGGTAAGGGATAATTCAAACTTTTATGGGTTGGGGTTCACTAGGTGTTTTTTGGTTTACAGGGGTATCAGAAACATTTTTTCTCGAAGGCTCAGGGGTAACGTGACTGTGGTACAGACTGGCGTTTGGAACAAGTGGCTGCCAACGAAGGGGTGGAGTCCCCTCGACGGATCTAGTGATTCTGATTTCTTTATTTTTTGGATTCTGTATTTTTCGATTTTTTTGATTTCGTCTTTTATTGTCTGAACTTTGCCTTGTTGGAGGCATGGCCCCTCGCGGGAGTAACCCAGGGCTAGAAACGTTTTTCGGACTCTTCTGTTTTTTTGGTCTCTGTCTAGGCTTGGTTCATCCGGAAACTTCGGTAATTCTGGACTCTTCTTCGCCGTACCTATTCTGGTTCTTGAGGTATCTATGCTCAAGATGTTAAGTGAGACTCTTTTCTTTCTCGGCAGTACTTAAGTGATAGGAGCTATTCGTCCAGTCCCTTTCCGTGCGACTACAGACCCCTGATGATTCCGGTATTGGCGGTCGGATGAAACACAACGTAGGGTTGCTGCGCCTATTCATAACGATTACCTTACGATGTTTATGGCGGGTTATCATTCTTAATCTATCGGCCATCTGGTCGCGTTTCGGGAAAATTGGGACTTCTCTCCCTTCCCTCGCGCTTGCTCTCCACTTTTCTTCTCTCTCTCTCTCTCTCTCTCTCTCTCTCTCTCTCTCTCTCTCTCTCTCTCTCTCTCTCTTTTCTCTTTTTTTCTCTCTCTCTCTTCTCTCTCTCTCTCTCTCTCTCTCTCTCTCTCTCTCTCGCTCTCTCTCCCTGTGAATGTGGTGAGTTTCCTGCTTTCAGTAGTTCGTTTTTGCTGCTATTGGATGTCGCATGTCGTCTATCCATTCCCAAAGTGCAAATTCACAATTAAAGACAATGCTACGCGAAAGAAATGCAAGCACTTGCAAAGAGATAGAGACCAGAGGAGAAAGAAAGAAGAAGAAGAAGAAGATATACACCAGCAAGACCAACGACAATTCCCCCTTCTCTCTCCACCTTCCTCCTCCTCCTTCACTTCGCCAATCTTATTCTTCTCCCAATAATAATAATAACAATAAGTGGATGAACTAGAATCAATATCCGAAGTTCCCTCTTACTGCTGACTCAACAACAATAACAACAACAAGTCCATCATAGCTATGGCTTCCCTCCTTCTGCCTCCTCACACATGCATAGGCTATGGCGAACTACCGAGGGCCCTGCCCTCCTGTCCAAAGGACAACCCAAAGCAGCTATGGCGCCGCACTCCTGCCCAAAGGACAACCCAAAGCAGCTATGTTGCTGCTACTGACTGGTCCGCCATGCCAAGCTCTGCCTCGAGCTTTCTTGGTGCAGCACTACCCCAACTGGGACCTTCCAGATGCAGCGCCCAACAAGGTGATGAAGATGGTGTCTACCATAGCCAGGTAGGTGCCTCGCCACTCTCCTCCTTCGCCCCCTTCTTCCTCCTCCTCAGGCTGGGCTGCTCGCCATAGCCAGGCTGAGCGCCAGCTCCCTTCACCTCCAGGCAGCGCTGTATCATTCCAGCGTTGTGCTCCAGCAGCATGTCGCCAATCCTTGCATACCGCAAATGAGGAGGAACTACTTGCTCCTCCGAAAGATATAGCGGCCTATTGGCCTCTTGGGCGGTCACTTCCTAGGCCGAGCCGCCTCCCAGCATCAGAGGGAAACATCATTGCAGGCTCTTCTATCCTCCGGACAGGCCCTAGACCCGGGCTACTTGGACTGGTACCGGCCTACCTCTAGCCTACCGCTACAGGGCCTCTAAAAATGCCAACCTTTTGTCTTCTTCTGATCGGCCTCCAGTACCCGACGCTTCTACCACTACTTCAGTGGTACTGGTGTAGGGCCTTACCCTGATAGACTTTCGAGCCTAAGTCGACCCCCTTTGCGGGTCCCATTTGGCTCGACCCGCCCACGCTCATGCTCAGGGCAGGGGTCGTTCGTCACAGGGGCACCCCCACCTATTGCTATGAGATGGATGGGGATGGGCCATTTGCGAGAGGGCTTTAACGTTGGGGGTTGTAGC